CCTCAGGAGAAACGACGCCAAGTAAGCAATTAGCTTAGCTGTCTCCTCAGGAGAAACAGGTTTCTTTAATGGGGTACAACGTGTGAAATTCTTATAAATTTTATCTTGCTCTTTCTCCTTGTTAACAATTCCAGCTTTGAGAGGGATGCCTGTGGCAACCAACCCAGGGCATACTGCATTCACTCTGACTCCCTCAGAACCATATTCAATCCCCGCACACTGAGTAAACTGATTCAATCCTGCTTTTGAAACTGCATAAATTTCTTCTCCCAAACTAAGTGGTCTTGATCCAGCTGCACTTGAAACATTGACAATATTTCCTTTGTTTCTCTTAAGCTCTGGGAAACATTTCAGAGAAAGAAATATAGGAACCTTAAGAGCAACATTGATCTGCCTGTCAAATTGCTCCTCTGTGGCACTCTCAAATGTACAGGGTTCAGGTACACAGGCATTATTCACTAGGACATCAATGCACCCAAATGACTCCAAAGCAGTGTCAAATAAGCGCTGTATCAATGTCTTGTCACTGTTGAAGTCTCCCTGAACAATAGGAAACTTGGCAGTCTGTGCACCAACTTCCCTGCATTCTTGAACAGTCTGTTCCAGCGTTTTCATGTCCCTGCCATGTATGACAACACTGGCTCCTTCTTTTGCCATCAACCGGGCAGTGGCCTTCCCAATACCACTGTTTGACCCAGTGACTATGACTCCTTTACCAGAAAATCTCATCTTGATGTCTGTCTTTGGTGTACAGCAAAATTGTAATATAAGCGTTAGTATATGATGATAGTTTGCTTGTTGAACTAGAAAACGGGAGGGTCAACTTAACTTTTATCATATGCATTCACTTCACCTACAGACATTTATACAAACATATGTACAAGGTTTACAGTTTGAGCAATAAATAAATGAGTAGTAGATTTGCAGAAGTGAGGATTTCTCAATCCCATGTTAAAAATAAGAGAATTTTCAAGAGGCCATACATCAGTAGATGAGAGTTTAAATATACACTTTTAGGGGCATGTATGTGAACGATATTGGAAACTATGGGGTTTCAATTCAAACCATGGTTTGAAAATGGTGACACAAAATAGATAACTCATTTATTTATGATCCAATTGTCGAAATTAATTATCAGACACTTGAATATGATTGTTAAATAGACTAGATGCGAGTAGAAATAATCTTGATTTATGTCATTAAATATTCAAAATTCAGTCAAAGTGATGTCATATTTGAAATCTGCATGTAAAAGTACATCTAGAAATATGGTTTCGAAAATTGATTATCAACTTTGAAAATTTAATTTTTTTTGAAAATGTGACTTCTTGTTCGGGTTGATTCCTCATAGACCAAATGTTACAAAGTCACAAAAAGTGAATTATCTTTTCTTGTATTGGACAGATAACATTTTCTTTTACTGGACACATTTTAATTTGCATAACTATTAGATACATAAGGGTTATATGAAAATTGAACCACGCAAATAGATGTAATTTAAGTTAAAGGGAACTTTCTACCATACCCGCCATGCTATCTGACCCGAACGAGCCACCTGGTGGTGAATCTGGTAACTACCTACTCGCATTTGCGTTATTGGTTTCAGAATTGGTTATATGTGACCAAAGGAATTCCGTAAATGGCAGCTCTGGAAATTCTAAAAGAAATTGACAATCAGCTTTGGATCTGATTGGCTGCCTGGCTCAAGGAGCATGCCTAGTTTGTCAATGCTTGCGTGCTCAGTATCATTTGACAGGGTTTTTCCTCAATTGACCTTTTGCGATCAGAATTCAGGAATTTTGTTTATGGATACTGTTGTCACGTATTTCGTCTTATTGGTATGACGTCATATAGAAATGATATTAGACATGATGGAATCACGAAATGGCGGACACGTGGGAGTTTTGAGCTAAAAATATTGTCGTTTCTTATATAAAAACCATGGGTCGGATATTTACCAGGTATGCCGATTTGACTAGATCATGAGTATGTCTATATATATGCGAAGTTTGGGTGAAATTCATACTAAACATCGATGCCTATAAGCGCCCCCCGTTTTTGTCAAAATCGGGGGGCGCTAAACCGCTATCTAAATCATGTCAGTAAGACCTTAGACTTGGTATGTGCTTAGCATGAATGTTGATCTAGTCAAATAGAACGCTTTCGTGAAAAATAAATCAATAAAGCACGAAATATAGAAGATAATCTCTCAAAATCAAGCATCTAAAGCTGGGTGACCTAATTGTGACGTCACTAAAAGACAGAATCCATTCGGTGATCGCAAATCATCAATTGTGGCGATCAAACTCAATTGTGTTCAATTCTAACAGCTGGTTATTCTGTTGATTTTCTCGATATATTGAGGATACTATAGTATACCTATAAGTTGGTCTCAAGATATATCTAAGGTATGTAAGATATAACCAACTACATGTATATGATTGGCTGAGGAGAAACCCATGGCGTAATCTAGCTTTAAGCCCTGTCCTGCAGACTTACTTATTGATCCATAATCTCTTACTGGCTGGACTGGGCTTCACATCCATGCAATCATTTTTTGATTGTGAATCCTGGATTGGTTGAAACCAATTATCCTCCAATAATATGCTAATCAACACCTTCTATTAATCATTTCCATGAAACTTTAAACATCCGTTCAATCTGTTTAATATACATGTATGTAGGTTTTTGTGATCTAAAACTGATTTTCTGGCCTGACTTTGTCGGAAGAACTTGAAATATAAGAGTTACCTGAATATTTGGAGTCTTACTTACCTTGTAGAGGTTAGAACACACATTTCAATGAAACCATATCAGCTTTGCTTTGTTCATGATGAAGCACAGTACTTGATTGAAATTTGTGTAAATGCTTTTTGGACTTTTCCATTTTCCTTGTGTTTACTTCCGGGAAGGCGTTGCCCCTATCTCAAAATAATGTATTGACCTTGAACTTTAATTTTGTGACATGTCATCCAACCATGTCTGATGTGAAAATAATTAGAATATTAGGAAAGAATGCTTTGCGGTCGTTTGCAGACGAGTTTAGAACAGGGCAGAGGAGGATGGCCTGTTCTAGGATAGAAGAAACTGCATGATCTACACTTGAACAAATTGGTCTGAATGAAATGCTGCGCAGAAAGTATGAATAGGTCGTCTGTTGTATTAGTCTATTAATACAGTATACAATTGTTGACCTCTCCAGAGGTCAACCGGCAAAATTGTATACCGAGACTGTAAACCGAGAAGCTACTGTTGACAGAGACCGAAGGTCGAGGTCAACAGTGTTTCAAGGTTTACAGTCGAGGTATATGATTTTGACGGTTAACCGAATGGAGAGGTCTACAATTGTTTTGTTAGTCAGAAGAAACTAATAATACTCATATATACGACAGTCATCAATCATGGCTTCATTTCACAATCTTTTCTACGAACCACGCCAGCAATAATTTTTAAGAAAATCTGAAGACAGTGGAAGCTAAACTCTCTGTTTTCGGCACATAACTGCGTACTCACCAGAAAATTAATGTTAATTTTGCGTTTCTATTTGTATTGTTGCTATACTCGTCGTGTAGAAAAGTCAAAATATCACTTTCATCAACGTGTACAAAATGTCCGACTACCATGTTTTTTCTGTAAACATTGTGACGTCATATTTCCCATAATTCACAAGTGTAGTACAGTAACATACGCGGTCAATAATATGATATCCCATGATGCACAAGTGAGGTACAGGCAAAAATGTTGACCGCTAATTGACCAATCAGATGCGAGTATTTACACTGAGGTACTAACAATAGGACCTGTTCGTGATGCTTTATAATTTAGAACAAAGTCTAGAAGAATACACACACGTGTGAATTATAAAATCAACGAACAATCATTCAATTTTCACAAATGTTCGGTAATTTATTGTATTGAAACTTCCGGAAATCATTCATTTTCATGGTCCATATTTTACCTCTTGGATATTGTGCTTAGGGAGCATCTCAAAAGTTCAATGTAGTATTATTAACTGTATTTGCACAGTTAATTTGTGACCACCCTCCCTCCCCTCTCATAACTTTGTTTGAGAAATGTTGATATGTTTTGTTTCGAAAGTCACACTATATCTAACATAACATGTAATACAGTCATTTCAATAACTATTCAAATCTGTATTTCTGTACATTATCAGCAGTAGGTTTAATACTGGACAAGTATAATTTTACTTTTGTTGTGTACATTTTTTTCGTACCAGAAATGCAAAAAAAATTCCAGGGAACGATGTCTGAATGCTGACTTTTAAGACCAATGACCACCTCCCTCCCTAACTGCAAATACAGTTAATTTTCCGATATCGATCTTTTGAAATGCTCTATGGTTGACGAAACAAATGTGATAGAGTTTCATAGAAGTGTGTATTAACCTCTAGAAGGTAAGTAAGACTCCTAATCTACAGGTAACTCTTATATTTCAATTTCTAACAACGAAGTCAGGCCAGGAAATCGGGTGTAATAGGTCTTACCTGAAATGCATTATCAGGGTGCTAGGATTTGAGCCCAGAGAACGGAGTTCGAGCAGACAACACATTATCCATGTAGGACAGATTAATAATGAAGGTAGGACATGGTTTAGCTAGTTTACTTAATTTCAACGATGAACACCAACGAACAAGGAAGTTGAATTGAACAGTGAATCAGTGATCCTGAAAATTAATAAAAATACATACCATCTTCCGATTTATCAAGTTTCATTCCTCTTCCAGCAAAGTTCAGTTCATTCTGTGCATCCACCGATGTCTTCGACAACTGGTCAGTCACATTATCAATCTCAGAGGTGCTCATATTTGCAATAATTTATAAAAATCTATAAAATTTTAAAAAAAGAAGAAATTGCCTCCATAAGGTGAATAGGAAATATTCGAATTTGATTGGCTAAAAATTGACAAGACCAAAATGAGATAAGAAACACATCTGTTATAACCAAAGAATAGTGGAATAATTTGAAAATTCGGGTTGATCATATAAATATAATCAATACATCTTTAGATTTATACTTAGATTCTACCATAATACGCGTAAGACAAGGCAACAAATATTATTGAAAACAGATATATGGCGGTTCATAAAAACTAAAAAAATCCATGCTTCTTTGAGAATTTTTCTTTACCCTACTGAATATCGTAAACTAAGGTGTACTGACGAGTTATGGAGTACCTATGATCGTACTTTAGGGTAAGTTATCCTTATCAATACATGACATGTGAATAGAAACAATAAAAAGTGTGTTTATTTTTGTGTGATTTATTCATGGGGAGTTGTCACCCCTCCTTACTTCCTGCGAAAGCTATTTGGATTTTGATATAAGTTTCAAAATCTAACATGGCTCTCGAAGTGAGTAAACCCCTCCCTCTTACAGCTGAGCTTATATTAGGTAGTCTAGCCAAGAATATTAGAGAGGGGGGTGAATCACTCCCCTTGGATTTATTGAAGGTCATGAATAGCATGGGCATCAGGCCATCCAACTGTCCCACAATTTGCGTATTTGTCACGCATTTGCTGAAGAAATTGGAAGTCACGCCAGCTTTTGTGTGAGAATATGTTACGCAAATAAGCATTAACCTGGTAATTGTCAAGCAAAAATATTTCTGTAGAAGAACTTCAAAAATGAGCGCCGATACATCAAAAAAAACGAATGCCAAAAAAACGAATGTATTTTGTTCGGAAATTTCACAGGAATTGTGTATATGTCACGCATTTGCTCAATTTCTTGTACCTACGGTGGATCACATGTGATGATTTCTAACCAAGTTATTGGCTAGAGACTCGACTGATGCCATTTCATCCTTGAACCCACAAGAATTAGGCGCAGAGCTGTCAAGTGTCCCGCGAATGGCGGGATTATCCCGCGATTTCGATCAAAATTAGGCTAATTCGCGTGTCCCGCAATGTTCCGGGAAGTCCAGCAAAAGTGGCTTTGACCCCCGCGAATTTCCGAAATTGTTGCAATCCCCTATATTGTGATTATCTTATCTTATATAAGAAGCTAAGTTTTTGCACTTTTGAGGAGTAAAGTTTACCTAATTTTAAGTACCTAGCATGCTGTTGTTTGGTATAAAAATAAAGAGGAAGGGTTTAAATTTCATTTTAATTACGAAAATAGGGATGTTGGTCACAAATAGTTCCAACGTTGGCCTTTTACTACCCGTGTGGCCTTCATCTCAGAACTCAGCAAATGTTAGCAAACGCGAGTTATAATAAATGGACGCTGAAATCTAGAAAGGGTTTGTAGAAAAAACCGGGTACTGTGTAGTAAATCCTCCATGCTCGGTTCAAACTTGGTACCCGGTACCCGGTCAAAAAAACGGGTACCCAAAAAACGAAAAATATGAATATATAACATAATTAGATTATGAGAAAACGTGTAAGATTTGTTTTGAATTTACAAAAATGCATGTAACATCCTTCAAAATTGAGCTAGAAGCTTCAAATAAAAAGCATATTTTAAGGCTCTTTTCTTCCTCTATCGTCATGGCCATATTTTCATTGGCTACTCCTATGACATTGTAAGACATAACAATTTACAATTAAGTGGACATTTTGTCGACAATTGGGATAACTTAAATTATGATTAATAATCAAAATTTTACACGTTGCATCATGTAAATTAACACACGTCACCTCTCTGCTAAAGCAACGATAGCTATTTACGGATTTAAATCATAATCAAAACAATTCACGTACCAACATACGAACTATTGATTTGTCTTGTTATTCAAATCGCCTTACAATGTCATTGGCGTAGCCAGGAGAGGGTGTGATGGTGCGATCGCACCCCCCCCCCCTTCATTACCAATGGAAATATGACCATGATGATAGAGGAAGAAAAGAGCCTTAAAATGCTTTTTATTTGAAGCTTCTAGCTCAATTTTGAAGGAAGTTACATACATTTTTGTAAATTCAAGACAAATCTTACACGTTTTCTAATGATCTAATTATGTTGTATATTCGTATATTTCGTTATTTGGGTACCCGTTTTTTTCGACCGGGTACCAAGTTTGAACCCAGCATGGAGGATTTACTACCCGGTACCCGGTTTTTTCTACAAACCCTATCTAGAAAAGTAACCTCATTCCCTATAATTTGATGTAGATTAATCGAACCCCTATATCATGGGCCTTCAATTGAAAGCCCATGCCTACACTAACAGTATATGAATAGGTACATTTTGATATATCTGGTATAACGTTATGGGGGTAAGCGTTTCATATATAGTTGGTCACGACGCCAGAAGTGCAAAGTATTGTTCCAAATTTTTGAATTTCGTGTTAGATTACGATACTCACACCTGAAGCATGGTTTTTGTTTTTGATAAATTACAATATAGTTTAATAATATTCCTATGCGTATTTTGTGAAATTATCTTGACGTTTATATAAGTTACAATGTAACGGTGCATTATATTTGATTAATCAGTATCTGAAAGTTTGATTTAAGTACTTTTACACGCTTTTACATTAGTCCAAATCACGCAAATCCCTTGAATGTCCCGGGACATCCTGCAAATTTAGGTGGATGTCCCGCGAAATCCCGCAAATTTAGGGCACTTTGTCAAAAAAATCTGTCCCTCTATGAAGTTTTTGGTGGTAAACATGTTAACTGTCCAGCAATTAGGGTGTTTGGCCCTCGAATGGTCCCGCGAAATCCCGCGAATTTGATAAAAAAAAAATTGGCCTATAAGCGCAATCACGCAAATCCCTTAAATGTCCCGCGAAATCCCGCGAATTTAGTAGATGTCCCGCAAGATCCCGCGAATTTTGGGCACTGGGTCTAAAAAATCTGTCCCGCGAGAAAATCTTTGGGGGTTGACAGTACTGTAGGCGTGATTGTGCAAAAATGAAAGATGTAGACCCATGTCTGGAATGAGTTATGTTTACTACTTTTTTCAAGGCCTGACTTCGTCGCTAACATGCTAAATATAAGAGTTAGCTGACGTTTGGGAGTCTGACTTACCTTCTAAAGGTTAGAACCCGAATATGGTTTGGGTTCTAACCTTTAGAAGGTAAGTCAGACTCCCAAACGTCAGCTAACTCTTATATTTAGCATGTTAGCGACAAAGTCAGGCCTTGAAAAAAGTAGTACCTGAAAATAGCAGTGGCACATGGTCTTGAAATTTCATCGAAGTTCAAACTGACCTTAATCAGTTTTTTTATTACTGAGATACTTGATGTATATGTAAAGCTGTAAATATGTGAGTTCATTACAACTGTACAAATAAAGCATACTTACCAAGTATAAACTGTCTGATTGTAGTTATGTTATGTAGTTACAAGAAAAGATATTGCACTTTTTGTGATTTTACAACGTGGGGTCTATGGGAAATCTCCCGAACCTAGAAGTCACATATTCAAAGAAAATTCAAATTTCAAAGTTGATAAACTCTCTTTAAAACCACATTTCTAGATCCAATTTTACATGTAGACTTCAAATATGACATCAGTTTGACTGAATTTTGAATTTTTAATGATGTAAATCAAGATGATTTCTACTCGCATCTAGTCTATTTATCACAGAGCCAAAAATAAATGCCTCAGTTTGAGTTCACTCTCCAGAGGCTGATCTGAATCTTGCTCACCATTGTAAAAAGGCTCTGAATTCACTGAGACTTTATTATTGAAAGCTAAAAGAGGCCAAATGTAAATCCAAATAAAAAAAGATTGTCTTATATACAACAACATGTGGTTAACTATATATGGTAGAATCTACTTAGAACTTTACCCCAATGAGGATTGGCTCCCAGGGATGCAACTCGATATCAATCGGCAGTTGGCCAATATTGCAATTCAATAATTTTCCAACAATGAGAATGCCAGAATATCGTTATGACAGTCCAAAAGATTCAAAACAATATCTCAATCACTTCTTGTGTGTTTTGAAATTTATTGTTTGGAAATAAGATCGAAACTTGCGATTCAAATTCTAAAGTGAACAAAATGGCAGCTGCTTGAATTCGAATTTTGTAATCACGACATCTCCATTATATGGCAGAATATCGAGTTGGAAGCCTGGGATCCAATCCTCCTTGATATCACCCTAGCCCAAAATGTAATGGTAACCAGGGGTTTCAATAGCAGTAGGCAATAGGTGATTATTCTCAACTACTTTTACAAAGTTACCAGTTGATTTTTGAGGACAACTCTTGCCATGTTAAAATTATGTTTTCTGTCATTTTGCCACTGTAGTTTTCATTCAATTTTCCACTGACTTACAGCCATCCTCCTAAACAGGTATCCAGAATCTGTACCTCCATCTCCCCCTGCTTTAACCAATTTGGAAGCACCCGATTAAGGTTCAGCTGGAAAGCAACATTTTGGTAAAAAATTGCTATACCTGCACATGTTATTTTCTGGTACAAAATTAAGTATGAAGGCATGAGTGTATTTCCTTGCTTTTTTCAGGAAAGTATCATTACACTGTCTACTGTTAGTAAACCTGGAAACAGGTCAATGGTAGCACCTGTTTTGTCCGGAAACTTTGAAAGAAAATTTGGAAAAAAAGAAAGTGTGAAATATCAGAATTTCCTAGAGCTCCCATTGAACCCCTACTAGATATTCTTAAAGAAGACAATGTAATGATACTTTCCTGAAAAAAGCAAGGAAATTGACACATGCCTTCATACTTTATTTTGTACCAGAAAATAACATGTGCTGGTATAGCAATTTTTTACCAAAATGTTACTTTCCAGCTGTACCTTAAACTGTATCCTGTAATTTAATTATGCGCAATGACTTATACATTACTTCTGTTGCAGTGTTGGGACAGCCAATCAGATTGCAAGTTCTTAATCGGGGAAATGCTAACTGCTTATAGCAGGGTGTAAAAAGAAAGAATATATTCTGGATTTTGAAGCCCTGTGGTCGGAGGATGACTTACAGCAAGTCTGTGATTTCAGAAATGTTAATGAAGCCCCTGGGTAACTGTTAGCTTGTACTTTTGCTTTTCAGGGTCATTAACAACATTAAAGATGTCACGCTGGGTTGTTACCAAGCAGTTGGAATGTAAGGAAACATTAACTACTGCACAGTTTCTGAATGCAGTCCAAGTGTGGATTATTAAGCCTCAAGTTGTGAATAAACACTATTGTGGAAGCAAGATACAGCATGAAAAGAACATCCAGAAAGTAGTGACATCTTTTGATCCAATTACACTTCAAAATGACTTTTATCTAAAAAAAGATGAATCATTGGAAGAACTGTTTGAGTATATGGTATCACTGTTGTCTGAATCAAGTTTCAAAGCCGTAGCTAATGACAATGTGGTTGACACAGTAAATGTGACTCTCCGTGATGTGATTCCTAAGAGTCTTCATAAAGATGCAAAGACTGTGCGTGAACTGGTTATTAAAGATCCTAAAACAGCCACTGTAACATTTATACCTTTGGTTGAGTTCAACAATACTGAACTCACAGACCAACAACCTCCAACAGGGCACACATATAGAATAAGACAACAAAGTGGTGGTATTACCATGGAGATCGTCAGTACTAGTAACAATGACCTTAATGAGACAGCGACATCTATAGTCTCAAGTACACAGATAACATTTCTAAACAATCAGCTTTTGCCGAAGATTGTCACTTGGGCAAAAAGTGATTCAAGTAAACCTACGGAGGTTAGTTCTCTTACCCTTGTGCCTATTGATGAGTACTCCAGGACTTACAACAGGCTGAAACAGGAATATGGCCAGAACCTTGTAGCTATTTGGCCAGAAACTACTGACCCTTTGAAGTTTGTATACGAAGATTGTGCCATAGCTGCTTATCTCATAACACTGTGGAACACTGGTAGTCATAGTAACGAGGGTGCTCTTACGAAGCAGAGTTTTGTGGATCTTGGATGTGGCAATGGACTGTTGGTGTATATTCTCTCAGGAGAAGGACATAGGGGTCTCGGGTTAGATGTCAGGAAGCGTAAGATATGGGATCTCCTAGGAGATAAAGCTAATCTACAGGAAACTCCCGTAACTCCATCAGACAAAACATTGTTCCCTGATTATGAATGGATCATTGGTAACCATAGCGATGAATTAACACCATGGATACCAGTAATGGCTGCCAGATCATCATACACGACGAAATATTTTGTGTTACCCTGTTGTCATTATGACTTCCAGAGTAAGTTTAATGAAAGACAGCAAGGTTTGAGTAGCTATCGAAGTTACTTGAAGTTTGTGAAGAAAGTTGGCCAGGTATGTGGATTCAAGGTTGAGGAAGACCAACTAAGAATACCATCAACAAAGAAAGTGTGTTTCGTGGGTCAAAACAGAACCTACCCACGGGAGAACCAAACTGATATCAGTGATAAGATTACAGAATTTATTGCTTCAAGATGTAACACAAATACAAGCATGAGTGAAGTTGCGCCAGATAAATCTGATGGAAATTCAGATGACGTAATTGATGCCGGCGCAAGGGGTGAAAATGATTCATGGGCTTCAGAGTTTAAAGCAAGGAGTAATATTGAAACAACTAGGAATTGTACACATGTGGACATCACAATCACAACTCAGATCATCAATTCAGTGTTTCATGCTGTGTTAGGAGCTCCTGACAATGTTGGTAACCTAAGTGATAAAGTAGCTGATGATGCTGGGTCAAGTAAAGAAAGCAAGATGCATGACGGAGATGTATGTAAGATTGATACACCCAAGATTGATACACCCAAGATTGATACACCCAAGAAACGGGGAAATGAGTCCTCTGCTGTTGATATCAATAGTAGAGAAACTGATGCATCCGTCTCACGGAAGGGCAACTGGAGAAGGGGCGGAGCTATACCATTAGGAGATGTTGTCAAGTTGTTCAGTAGCGATATTCTTCAACAGTTAAAGAAAGAATGTGGAGGGATTCAAACCTTGTTGAAGAACCATCATTATATCTTTAAAGTAGTCGGAGGTAAGGTATCCCTCAGACACCCTGGCGAGGTACAACCGAAGATTGCGAAGAAACGTAAATGGAATGAAACTGAAGGGAGTGTCACCAAATGGCAAAAAACTAAACTATGTTGGTTTAATGATAACCACCCAGATGGCTGCCCATTAGACTCTGAGAAATGTACATTTGCTCATGGACAAAATGATTTAAAAACAGTCTGTAAACAGGATAGAGGTCCATGCAATAAATAAGGCAACGTGAAAGAGTAGAAGTAATGGTGATAATGTAAATAGGGATTGGGGATCAGGCCCATACCCAGCATTTCCAAGGTATTCACTTCTCAAAAATTTCTATGGGAGTTCTCATTTGACTACTTTGGCCCAGAATCACTTGAAAAGGAATCGCATTGGTGAAAACTGCATAATTTTGAAAGGATTTTTGGCCATGGTGAGTGCCCTCGAACCCCCCTCCCCCTCCCAGCTACAGGCCTTGGGATTATTGTGTTAATTCAAGGTGTAGGCTAGTGTAAATAAATAAATTGTTTAGTGTATTTTAATTGTTTGTTTAATTGTAACAAATTTTTTCAAAGTGTAGGTTTCATATGAGACAAGTGTAAATAAATAAATTGTTTAGTGTATTTAATTGTTTGTTTAATTACAGGAATTTTTTCAAGGTGTAGGTTTCATATGAGGCTAGTGTAAATAAATAAATTGTTTAGTGTATTTAATTGTTTGTTTAATTGTAAAGTGATTTTGAAATATTCCAATGCTCCACCATATGGACATCAAATCCAATCAAATGCTCTATCCAGAGTTGAGAATTCAATTCATCATACTGGTCCCCTACTGGACCAAGCAGCATACTAGTATTTAAAATCTCCAGAGATTTAAGAATGAACTTCAAAAATTGCTGCTGATCAAAGGCTATTCTTGCATTTGAAAGAGGCAATGCTGCATCATTGTGACATATAGTTGATGTTTGAGGATGAAAAGGGCTACGAATTTCATTTGTGACCTTGTTCTTCATACCTCTGACACCCCTGTTACCATATAGCATTTTGAGACTATAGGTTGGAGGATGGAATTATCATAATGCTATTCTACAATCTGTACTATTTTATTATTAAAAAACATAATGTATCTCAAAGGGGCACTTATAATTTCCTGGACACATTGCATTGCACTTGTTTGAAACGCAGCACTATGATTGCTGAAGATCAGGGGTGAACTTGAAAATTGAAAATGGGAGCTAAAATGCATTCCCAAATTAGGATATACATTTTTAACCTGACCCAAGGTCCAAACTTACTTTGAAGCCACTTATTCATAAGCCACTTTTATAAGCTTAGTGTGTCACCACTACAAGGTGGTCGGCTGTTGGTGTTTGACAGTTGGTGTTCGTTGGTCGGTGTTTGGCATCTGAAACAAATGGCAGGTTTTGACATTTTGCATGTGAATGCCTTGTTACATCTGAGTTATACAGTTTTGATGCTGATAATCTTAACAGTCTCAAATGTAATTGGACTTGTGAAATGATTGTAATGAGGTACTGTAGATTGGGTTAATTTGGCGCCCGCTTTAATTTGGCGAAATTGAAATTCGCCAATATAAATCTTCGCCAAAATTTAGAATGAATCCCCGGGAATTATCTAGGGTATTTCGTCCAATGTATTTAGGTCACGTCCGGTTTAGTTTTTTCCAAAAATATGAAAAAATGTCTCTCATAAATTGGCTCAGAACTGGTCAGTCACTCATTAATACTCAGGGAAAAATAAAAAGGAAAATCGGGGTATTGTAGCAGCATCGATCGAGGTGCAAAATGTAAAGGATGATTTCACAAAAATGTACAAACGTGGTGAATATCGCCAGTGGTCCTCAAAAGAAAAAATGAACATAGCCAAACATGCCCATTTACATGGTAATTCGCAAAGTAAGTTAATTAAAAAATTTTTGCATATCCGCCAAATTAAATAGCCGCCAATATGCCAAAAATGGCAAAATCGCCAAATTAAGTAGCGCCAACTTAACCCAATCTACAGTACTTGTAGACCTGTGAATGATTGTAATGAGGTACTTGTAGACCCGTGAATGATTGTAATGAGGTACTTGTAGACCCATGAATGATTGTAATGAGGTACTTGTAGACCTGTGAATGATTGTAATGAGGTACTTGTAGACCCGTGAATGATTGTAATGAGGTATTTGTAGACCCCCCTAACACCAATTTTGTCGATTGAAGAGGACTTGTACACATAAGAAATACAGATAAATAGTTGACAAATATAAAAAGGTATTTGTAGGCCAGGAGTTGCATCTAGTAAGGCAGAAGATGCATTGTCATGAATTTCAAACTACAAGTTCTGATTGAGCCCCCCCCCCAAAAAAAAAAAACAAAAAAAAATTATCTCCAATTGAGAGAATCACAATTGCAGAGGGTAAAATACAAAATGGAGTGTCATTATAGTGTAAATATCACAGTTAGTTTTGTGTCACAATTTCTTGGATTTTTAATCAGTCTTATTGCCTGTCATAAGAAGATGGCAAAATTATGTACCTTATGTTTAATTTCTATTTTCAGAACCTGAATTAGTTCAAAAGATGGAGCTGCTGTGTCGTAGTGTTGGGCAGTTGGCTTTGAAACAGGTTTGTAACTTTAAAAGAGGTTCCGAATGTGTTCCCCTCACACAAGTTTTACTGTAGCAGGCCCATAGCCAAGGTTGTTTGGGGGATTTGAGCCCCCCCCCCCCCCAAATTCTAACCCCCCAAAAATTCTTTCAAAATCATGCAGTTTTTGGCTCACACAGTGAGCCTGAGGGATCGACTAGGTTTCGTCCGTTTGTTTATCCGTTCGTTGGTCCGTCCCTCCATCCTTCAACATTTGCCGCTCAAATTAAAACTGCTATTCGTATTAACTATTAAGTCGTATCCACATTCATTTTATGTATATCCATAGTGCCTATTTGACCTGTCATTGCCATTTTCACCATTCTGTGCACTTTTCAAGTGATTTTTGGGCCAAAGCTGTCAAATGTGAAGCCCCATGGTGAGCTTTTGCAATCGCTCACTTGTCCGTCTGTCTGTCCATCCGTGCGTGCGTGCGTCCGTCTGTCAACAATAGTGCCATGTTTTAAAACCTCTGTCGATAGGATTCCTGTTTTAAGTTATTTCTGTTCAACATCAATACAGTAAACTCCCCTATGACTCCTGGTTCAAAAGCTCGCCTATTTTCAAAATGGCCGCCATTTTTGTCTCGCGAAATTCACTTTTGACCCATTTCCTAGCTTTACAAATAATTTCAGGTGTCCTACATTGTAAAAATCCATGTCAATGTAAAGAGTAGATATATGAAATAATTTTGTTACAAATAATCAGCGAAAAATTATATCCATTTTTTTTAATTCAGCCATTTTAGTTAACATTGATTTGTCCATCTGACTTGCGAAATCCAATTTTTCGTCAACAACAGTGGCACGTTTTAAAACCTCTGTCAATAGGATTCCTGTTTTAAGTTGTTTCTGTTCAACATCAATACAGAAAACTCCCCTATGACTCCTGGTTCAAAAGCTTGCCTATTTTCAAAATGGCCGCCATTTTTGTCTCGCGAAATTCACTTTTGACCCATTTCCTAGCTTTACAAATAATTTCAAGTGTCCTACATTGTAAAAATCCATGTCAATGTAAAAAGTAGGTGTATGAAATAATTTTGTTACGAAAAATCAGCAAAAAATTGTATCCATTTTTTTTATTTTCAGCCATTTTAGTTAACATTGATTTGTCCATCTGTATCGCAAAATCCATTTTTGGACCATTTACCTTAAACCCTCTGTCGATAGGATTCCCGTTTAAGTTAATTTTGTTCAACATCAATACAAAAAACTCTCCTATGACTCTTGGTTCAAAAGCTTGCCTATTTTCAAGATGGCTGCCATTCTTGTTTCGCGAAATTCTCTTTTGGCCCATTTCCTAGCTTTACAAATAATTTCAGCTGTCCTGCATTGTAGAAAGCCATATAACTGTAAAGAGTAGTTGTATGAAATAATTTTGTTACAAAAAATCGGTAAAATATTATATCCGTTTTTTTATTTTTAGCCATTTTAGTTAATATTGTTTTGTCCATCTGTCTCGCGAAATCCTCTTTTGGACCATTTGCTTAAAACCTCTGTCGATAGGATTCCAGTTTCAAGTTATTTTTGTTCAAAACCGAAATTCAATTTTGGCCCATTTCCTAGTTTATAAATAATTTCAGGTGTCCTGCATTGCAAAAAGCCATATCACTGTAAAGAGTAGTTGTATGAAATAATTTTGTTACAAATAATTTGCAAAAAATTATATCTGTTTTTTCAGCCATTTTACATAACATCGACTTGTCCATCTGTCTCTCAGTCAGTCCAAAATAATGGCAAGTGGCTTGAAATAATTTTGTTACAAAAAATCAGCAAAAAAATTATATCAGTTTTTTTTTTATTTTCTGTCATTTTAGCCATCATTCACTTCACTTTTGAGCAACACCATGTGTACTCTAGGGGCGAGGAGGGAAATTCTCAATAAATGGAGTATAGTTGGTTTGGCAGCATTTTCAGTTAGGGGAGAGTCTTGGATGAAATTTCCACCTAGGTGATAGCTTCACAGAGTGGTAGGAAGTTCTTTTTTTTGAAGAGTTAACCCCCTACCCCACAAAAACACCCCACCCCGGGGAAAAAAATTGTTCACACTAAATAACCTTAGATATTTTGATGTTTGTAAGTGACATACATAGATATTATATATATGAATCATTTGCAGTATAATTGATGCTGATTACTCCTAAAAAAATTGAATATTAGTACAAAGTGTGTACCCCAGGGGGCAAATTCGTGACCCATTTCCTTACTATTTTGATCCTAACTTTTCAACTAGACACTGTAAGAGGTTGAAAAAATTCATGTGAAGTGCCCAATAGCAGGGTTAGTAACCCTGAAATCTGTAAAGCTATGGAAGAGGTAGGAGCTGAGAAAAAAATTGTTGATTTTTCGAAAAAAATTGACATTTTTGACAGCTGGATTTTGTGTATGACTATAGCTGACCCCTATAGTTCCTGGATCCATCCCTCTATGATGATATATATGGTTTTATAGTGTGGAACTAAGATGTAAAACATAATTAAGATGGGTTTTAAGGAAGTTTAAGGTTTTAAAGAAGTCTAAAATTTGAAAAATTGTAAATATAAGGTTTCAAATTTACGAATTCCAGGTAGAGCCATGGCAGACCCCTATAGTTTCTAGATCCATCCCTCTATGGTGATACTTATGGTATTGCTGTATGGAACTAATATGTAAAACACAATTTAGATGGGTTTTAAGGAAGTTTAAGGTTTTAAACAAGTTCAAAATTTGAAAAATTGTAAATATAAGGTTTCAAATTTACGAATTTCAGGTATAGCCATGGCTGACCCTTATGGTTGTTACATCCATACCTCTATGATTAAATATACAGTTTTAGAGTGTGGGACTAAGATTTAACATACCCAAAATGAATTTTAAGAAAGTTTAAGGTTTTAAACTCAAGTCAAAAATTTGAAGAATTGTAAATGTAAGTTTTCAAATTTATGAATTTCAGGTATAGCCAAAGATGACCCTTATGGTTTTTTTTACATCTATACCTCAGTGATGAGATATATAAGGGTTATGTACTGGGAGGTTTTGGATACAGGTTTTATCCCAAGGGAAATATGTGTATATCCCGAGGGACCGCAGGGACCGAGGGATATACACATATTTCCCGGGGGATAAACCCTGTATCCAAAACCGACCGTACATAACAGATGTATTTCATACTTACTGATGTTCTAGGTACGTCATATACCTTATAAAGTTCCAAAAATCAAAAATATATTTAAGATACGCATTTTCTTGGTGTTATAAAGTGTTTTTTAAGTTTCTGAGATTTTCAAACTCATATAACTCATATTTTGAAAAATTTGAAAAGAATGTGAACATTTTTTTAAATAAAAGAATGTGAAAAGAATTTGGAAAAAATGGGGAAAAAAATTTGGGAAAAAAAATTCAAAAAAAATTCAGGAGCGGGACCGGGATGGATACAGCGTGTATCCATCCCGCCCTGGACCTTGGCTAGATACAGTATATATTCCCGCTCGTTATGTACCTAGAACCTCAGTAGGTATGAAATACATATTTTTAGAGTATTTAACTAAAATGTAAAAGATGCATAAGATGAGTTTGAAGGAAGTTCAAGGTTTTAAACAAGTGCAAAATTTGAAAAATTGATCTCGAAAATTGGTCTCAAATTCACGTTTAATTCAGGTACAGCCTTGAATGAGCCCTGATAATTGAAGGTTATGAGCATAATAGTAACAACTGTGATATCATAGCTTAGAGACCAGGTGTATAATATATACCTGTTGCAGCAGTTAGTCTGCTGCATATAGATGGAGTGAAAAGTCATGAACTACAGTAAAATCTTTCTATTCTGAATGCTACTAGATATAGTATTTGGACAAGCTAAAAGCGTTCAAATTAGAAGTGTTTGAATTTTGAGGTTTTTTCCATCTGCAATATTCTGGATTTTGAAGAAATATGAATGCATTCTCAATGAAAAATATTGATAAATATTAATAATATTTATACTGACCACCCAAAAAGCTTAATAGCATTCCAAAATCCAATTCAAAAGTTTTGATATCATAACAATTCAGTGTTAAACTGACAATATTTGAGCAATTTTGTAAGAAATATGTGATATTTGGTAAAAAAAAAAAGTTCAAGTTTAACAGGTTGATTTTTCAAATATGAGTGTTCACTGTTCGAATTAAGAGGTGTTCAGATTTCAATTTTTAAACATAGGAGTCAATGGGAGGAAGGAAAAATTGAACTGGGGAAAAGTGTTCAGATTGGTTGGTTTTCAGATAAGTCAGGTGTTGGGATGATTGGTAGGTGTTCACAATAGTCAGATGTATCATTTATACAAGATGATGAACTAGAACTACTGTACTAGGTGCCTTTGATAATTTTTACCACAATGTTATACTATGTCAGGAAAAGAAAGCACCCATGACACTGTGCTTGTACAACTTGAAAATCAACAACACTTTAACATTTGATAAAGGTGTCTACCAAATGAGTAATCCACATTCAAATACAAGCACTTGGCATGCTATTCCCTATGATCATTAGTTTCATTAGTTTCTCTAGAATCTAAAATTGACCTTGGGTTTATGAGAGTAATAAATTGGAATGCAGTAATATGGAATATTGAATTGGCTGGAATTGGACACACCTTGCCTAGAAATGTGTGAGTAAACTATGATCTTATATGGATACAAACAGTTCGTTTGACAATGATCATCTATCTTATCCTGTAAAATCAGAACTTAAAAAGGGGTTTGAAATGGAGATCGATGAAACCATACCACAAATTGATAAAACCTTTGTGGTTGATGCAATGGCTATGACAAAGGGAAAATGAAGATTAACTTATATGTTGAAATTTGGAGAGTTTTGGAAAGCTATATTTGACTACTCCATCAAATCTAGTAAAGGAGCCCAAAGAATAGATTTCATATTAGACTCCTAGCTAGTTGTCTCCATCAGTAAAGGATTCTGAAAGAATGCGAAGAATGGATGCTTCCCCTGTTAAACTTTAATCCA